ACTGGGCATTCCAAACTCATGATGTTTCATGCCAAGTGCAGAAGAGTACTACCCGAAAGATGGTACAACCGAGACTTTTAAGAAGTATGGCTTCCGTAAAAGAATTACAAGACTTGTTTTGTTCATGCCTATTTTGCAATCTCATTCCGGGTTGTAATATTGCTGAAAATTCCTATTTTATAACTAAGACTTGATGTTTACAATTATTATATTTTGCTTATATGTATTATATATCTTATGTAAACCTATCTACTACTTATATCCCTTGTCAACTCTCGTCGTTCTTGTGTTAATACTTTGGAAAGATTTGTCAAAAAGGTAACTCTATTATCTAAGGAGATTGGACTTCGAAAGGAGTTTATTTTGACTCCTTCGATTTTTCTTGGGATCTTACTTGGCTATTGACCAAAAGACTCATTAGTGACGTTTCTTGACCTTGTTACTTAGAAAAGAACTTGAGGTGTCAGACAATCTCTTTTAGGAGGTAGCTAATCAACTAACATACAAAACTTGCTTGTTTTGCTAGGTTAGAAGGTTGACATGAATTGTCATTCAGTAGCTTGGGCTAAGGTTGTGTACAAGTGGGTTCAGATCAGTTTTCTGAGTTACTCGTTACTCGAACTACACATTTGGGTTAGAGATTATGCCATCCAATCCCGACCAACTAATGATTCAAAATCAAACAAATCAAGTAGAAGAAAATCAGTCAGCTTTTCGATCAGTCTTGTAACAACTGGCATCGTCTTCTTCAAAGGTAATTTCAACATCAAAGCAACAAAGAACCAATGTAAATCATAGCGAGATACGAGGTTTAGGGATTTAAAAGAAGAGATAAACTATGGGCTTTCAAGAAGGTAGATCTTATCTTTATTATTCCACTACCTTCGATCTTATAGCCACCACCTCTTCCACAGCCATAATTTAATTGTTGTCGCCGCCATCATAATGATCTCGGTGATTGCTGCTGGGTCATAATCTCAACTCCACATTCTCATTGTCTCAATAGTGAGAGAAGATTTAGACAGTGAAAAGAAAGAAAAGACAAGTTGAAGAGTGAGAAGTTAGAAAGAGAAGAGTGTTTGAAGGGTGAGATAGAAAAGTTAGAAAGAATAAATGTTCTCTGATGAATAGATAAGAATGAGACAAAACAAATGAATAAAAGAATAGAGAGAGACTGATTGATGACCTTATTAAGAAAGAAGAAAAAAACTTATTTGGAGTGATACAACTATGATGTATAGGGAGTATAAAATAATTTATTATTTCTTTAAGATATTTGTATGCATACAGTGGGAGGCAAAAATGAGCTACAACAAAGCAGGACTAGAAGTTTAGGTCCAAAATAATGTCTCAATATGTCCAAAAGACTTGTTGTATAGGATCCAGAGATCTAGGTCCAAGAGGCCAGGTTCTAGTATGAAGGTTTAGGACCAGAAATAAGGAACGAGAAATGTGCCCTTGAGGAGTAGACTTAGTCAAGGTGTGTTCCTAAATCCTTGGCCCAACTAATTCCTAGAAATCCGCACCTAGTAGAACATGATCCCTAAAGAAATGGGGTTGATGTGAGGAGTAGGAGGAAGGCTAACAACCCACAACGGCTAGTAGGAGCAAAGTATAAATAAAGGTAACTTCCATGGTTAAGGTACACAATAAATCCTACTTGCACTTATACTCACACATTCTGCTTATTTGTCTACTTGCTTACTAACTTACGTATCAGAGTGTCCCTAGTCTGCTTCCCAGCCAGACTTTTCACCTTTTGTGAGTGCTTGTAGGTTCCAAAGATTTCAACAACTGTTGGAGCTTGGTGGTTCAATTTTTAACCACCACATATATAATTGTATTTCATCAGCATCAATTAAATAACGATGACATATGAAAGGTATAAGAGACTATAATTGGTCAGACGATTCAGTTTTAATGGAATTTTTAAATGTAAAACCTTAATCCGCCTTGAAAATTGATTTATGCATGTATTTAAAAGTGCAGCCGACCATTTGACTTCTCGAAATTGATCGAACATGAATCGAGTCGATCAGTTTACCCGAGTTGTATAGACCCGTACACAACCCTAGCTTAGGTTAACATAGAGAAACGTTTTAAGATTGATGCTTAAATGGTGGCAAAGGGTTTGGTGTTTATGTTTTTCCAAATGGCCTAGCAAGCATGGGAAAATACAATGGACTACTTTAAAGATGAATGATAGAGAGAATTTGATTAACAATTTGCTTTCACCCACTCCACCAGACTTAGAGAAAAAGAATGAAGATTAAATGGAGAAATGCTGATTATAGTCCAAAAATCAAGCACCGTAGTACAATCTCCAAGCATGGTTGGTTTCAGGGCTACCACATGATTCACAAAGGTTGTTATTTACCATCTTTTGATGAAAAAAAGGAATTCGGTGCAAATTATTTGACGCAAAATAAGCCAAAAGAAGTGAATAACTTTAGGAGTGCATAGGATTTTCCAAACCTAGTTCTAGTTTGTAAGAGGTGCAGACTCTAGTACCTATCTGTTGTGAATTTCCAAGTGACTTGATCGAGGTTGACTACCAAACCATTGGGGGGAAAACTTTAAGCATTGAACTATGCTAAAAGCGAGATTAAAGGAGATATTTTCTAGATGCCAAGAGTTGTTCCACCAATAATCTCTTACTTTACTAGCAAACTCCTCATAATTAAGGAGACCCATCATAGAGTTTCTAATGGGACCAAGACCTAACCAATTGTCCCACTAGAAAGAGGTGTTAAGGCCACTTTGAACATGGATGCTAGTGCCTAAAAGGAATAGGTATTCACCATTTTCCATACCTCTCCAAAACAGAGATGGCCTGTTGTTAGAATTTTGTGCATACTTGGCTTGTAGAACCCTAGCCCATAAGGAGTTAGTATCAGTAGCTAGCCACTAGTTAAGCTTGGCCATAGCAACCTTATTGACAATTGTTGTCTGACGGATGCATAGTCCCTCATGTTGCTTAGGTTTAGTAACGGTTGACCACCTAATCATATGTAACTTGTGTTTCTCATAAGTAGAACCCCATAAGAAAATCCTTGTTGATTTTGTCAATAGTAGAAGATACAAACTTTGGGAGGTGGTTACACTGCATGATGTGGTTTAGAACAGCAGAATTCATTTATTTGATGAGGGTATGTCTCCCAGCTAATGAGAGAATTCTTGATTTCCAGCCAAACAATTTGGTGGTGAGTTTATCAATAATGAATTGAAATTTGCTAGCCTTGGGTCTATTATAATGAATGGGCCAGCCTAGATATTTGCCTACGGTTTGGGTTTTGGGAATTTGAAGGCAATCTGCAAAGAAAACTTGTTTATCCAAGTCTAGGTTATTTGAGAAAAGGATTTTGGACTTGTTCAAGTTGATTTTTAATCCCAAAAAGTTACAAACATCATTCAAAATGGTCGAAAGTACAAGAACAATTTTGCTTCTTAGCCACTCAAAATAGAATAAGATTGTCCACAAAAAATAAATGGGAGAATTTATGACTGGACCTATAAATCTTGATGGGTTTCCATTGTTTTTTTGTTACAAGCTTCTGAAATTGCTATTGAAAGGTATTGAAGACAAACAATAAACAAATAAGGAGATAATGGGTTTCCTTGCCTTATACCTCGAGTGAGAGTAAAAGTTTCTGTGACCCCTCATTGAAAATGATTAGAGGAAGAGGAGATACAAGAAAGAATCAACTCAATCAATTTTGGAGGAAAATTGAAGACATAGAGGGTTTTTTCGAATAAAGCTCCATTCGAGGCTATCGTAGGCTTTTTCCAAATCAATTTTAATGAGCATATGGCCAACCGAACCAGATTTAGCCTTGAAAGAGTGAGCCACTTCTTGAACAATGGCTACATTATCAATACCTACTCTATGATGGATGCAACTAGCTTGGAAAAGACTGAAGAGGACATCGAGAAAGGGTTTGAGTCTCATTACAACTATTGAGTTTATAAATAATGTTGCAAAGACTAATGGGTTGAAACTGGGTCTCATATTCAGGTTTATCTAATTTGGGAATGAGGAACAAAAAATTTGTGGTTTAGAATGGCATCTATTTTACCAGTAGTGAAAGCATGAGAAACCACATTTACAACAACATTTTTATAAAAAACCCGGATGCAAACCACTGGGCCTAGGAGCCTTCCAAGGTTTGAAAGTCTAAAGAACAACTTTGATTTACATAGTAGATGAATGGCCACAAGAAAATCATGCAAACATTCTAGTAACTTTGGAAAACAAAGAGTGGTATTACAGTTCAAAAACTTATGTAAGGTGTTGGTAGTGAAAAGGTCATGGAAGTAACTAATAAGAAAAAGTTCGATCTCAGATTCCCCAAAAACCCAATTCTCATTTTGATCATTGAAGCCAATAATATTATTATTTCTCCGACGGGATAAGGTTGATTGGTGAATATTTTTTGAATTTTTATTGCCCTCCAAGACATAATTCGTATGAGTTTTGAGGGCTCAAAACTCTTTCTCAAGTCTCAATATAATTTTAGTTATACATAACGTTTAAGTGCATATTATAACTTTACCGATCATTTTTATTATGAAAATTGTAACTTTTATTACCAAAGTCATAATTTTTTCCTAATTTTTAGCCTTTTTTTTGGGTTTAGATGTTACTTAACAATTAATTCAAAAGTTACAATTGAAGCTTATTTTAGAAAAAAAAAAAAAAAAAAAAAGTTTTTAGAAAAAAAAAAAAAAAAAGAAGTTAAAAGTTGACTTTTTAATTTTTTTAAAAAATATATATAAAAAAATAGAGAGATGGTATAATTAAAAAAATTAAAAAATGAATAAGTTAGCTTTCTAGTAATAATTATGCAAAACCTTCTAGAAAAAAAGAGACTACGATCCAAATCACCTCCTAATTATTCATAAACAACGCTATTTGTCTTTGTTTTTTCAAAAAAGGTTAACTGTACGGATGGTGATGCCAGGGTATACCGCACATTAATCCATGTGAAATTTGGCCTTAATCGCTTTTTGTTCGCAGAAATAGAGAGAGAGAGAGTTGCTTCTTTCGAGCTAATTGGGAGGAGGAAACAATACAAAGAAAGAGAGAGAGCTCTCATCAACTCACTCATTTCATTCCATCTTCCTGATCTCGGCGTCACTGCCTTCTCCCTCTCTCTCTCTCTCTCTCTCTATCACACTCGCAAACACATTTCCAGTCTACTTTCTTCTGGGTATGGTGATATCTTGAAATCACCAAACAAGCCTCAATCATATTCCAGTTTCTCTGATTCCTCTCATTGTTTGCCAGGTATCGGAACCCTTGACCCTTTCTATTTTCACTTCATTTTCTTTTTGCCTATATATATTTGTCTTTTTTACATAAAGAATTTCACTGGGTTTTCTTAGATGAAAGTATGGCTAGTTCTGAGATCTGAAATTGGGCATGGTGGAAATGGGATGAACTTTTTCAGTTGATTTTTTTGTTTTGTTTTGTTTTGTTTTGTTTTTTCTTTTCTTCTAAATTGTTTTGTTTTTATTGTGGATTAATTTTGAAAAATACTTGTCAGAAAGCATTGTTAATGGATTATTATTTGTTTATTATTGTCTTTCATCAGATGGAGGACCTGGAGACTCAGAGAAATGACCCATTTTTAAAGGGTATTGTAATGCTTTGAGCTTTTAGATTCAGAGGCTTCTCTCACATTTTACTTCTTTAAGTTTGGTTTTTATTGAGAATTTGAGAATGGATCTAACAATGCTTGCCAAAAACTAAAATGGGTATTTTGGTGTTATCCTTGTTTGCATCAACTTGAGTCCATCTCATCCAATTTCGCTCTTGAAATTTTGGGATTTTGGAGACCAGATTTTCCATATTAAGAGTCAGCCTTCGCAAAATTTATTTTATTCCCCTCTATGTGCATAAGCTCAAACTACCACAAGGGTTTTCTGTTACAGTAAGGACTGAGAATTGAATTCCAGCCTCCCAGGGGCGCTCTACTCTTGTTGATCTTTCATCGGGCGAGGTGGGTTTTAAGCTCTATCTGGGTGCAAGATGATAGATCAATTCATCAATTTTGTCATTCGGCCGCCCAGGTATATTCATCTCTTGTACCCTCTGTATGTGACAAGTTAGTGTTTTTTTGCTCGATATCTATTGCATGCCCGGCCAGCTGATTATTTGCATTTGTTTGCTCTATTTTTTTTCACACCTGTCAATGCTTCACTTGTTGGACCTATTGGCTTCTGATTACATTTGAATGTTGCTGTTAACTATATATATATATCCTATATGTCTTGAGCTACTAAATAGACTGCTACCTGTTGCACTGAAAGAAACCATAATAAGGGCATTACTGTACTTTTCACTTGCCTTGCTGTTTTCTTTTTGCCGGATAGATAATTGTCACTTGCCTTGTTGGTTGTTATTTTGAAGAATTCACTTCCGTGATGTGTATTACCTTTTTGTTCAAGGTGTCTGTTTAGGATTGAGAGTGTGGGGGTTCCCATGAATTTTGTTATGGGAAAGATGGGATTACTCAAGAAGTGGCATGTCTATGTCATTTTTACAGGTCAAATAGCGATAAAACCTTACAAGGACAGACATAAAATATTTCCCCTTTGGTAGCCTGTATTTGTTTGAGTTCTCTAGTTTCTATTTATAGTTTTATATCCTATCATCAAAGAGGAAGTTTTAGTTCAAAGCTGGATGGTTGGTGTTGGCTTGTGTCTTTGCTGTGCAGTCTAAAATGAGATCCTGGTTATCTTCAAAAAAATGTTTCATTATGTGTCAACACTTCTGAAGGACTTGTCTTATCAATTATAGATAAGATGCCGACGGGTCTATATGTAAACCAAGAGTCAGCCGTTCATTTAATACCCAAGTGATTCTGATCTTCTTAGCCCTTCTTGTTTGTGCCTTCCGTAGAGGGAGTAAGTGATGTCTAAAAGCTTCTATTTCCGCCGACAATTAATGGGAAACCATGGGCAAACTTGTCTTTTGACTAGTTGGGTGAAGATTAAGTTTAAAGCTACATCCAAATGCAACGTGAATCCATCCTTAATTTCCTTAATCTTCTAGGTCTATTTTTGTCTTCCTCAAATTTTCTAACTCTTGAAATTTGAAAATTGTGAAAAAAAATTATACATTTCCCATCCACACATTACATTTTCAGAAGGAAAGATCAAATTACCATTTAAAAATATTAATTCTTCATATAGAAGTCAGTTTGTGGCTATGCAATATTTTAAAATTTATGACAAGTCATCCTTCTATTTACCATCTTTGCCTTGTAACTTTGTTGTTAACACCTCTAGGTTTGATGATATAATATTGCCTCATTTCCTATACAAGGATGAAAAAGTTAATTATTTGGAATTTGTGCTACCTTCATGGGGTTCTTTTTTTTTAGACTAGCATTTTTGAGATCATAGATTTTACCATGTGCATTCCTCAAATTATTCGACTCGTCAACAATGGCAATGTTTTGTTTACCCTGCTGGGGTTCAAGGTCCATGAATTTACCCCCAAAGTAATGCCTTTAAAACAATTTATCTTGCTTATCAAAAAGATTGTTAGTTTCAGTTTACCTTGAAAACACATAAATTCCTTGAACTTCAAAAGCTGACACTTGCACCCCTGTGATCATGACTAAAGTGATAACACATATGCTGCTTACGAGGAATGTAAAAAGATTAAATTACGTACATGAATTTAAGTCTATTGAACATATACAAACTGCCAAAACATAGGTGCTCACCCCAATCAAGAAGAGCCTTCATCAGTCCAGTTGTTCAAGATAGAAGCAGGTGCACCAACTAGAGAAGACCCCCCATATATTTTTTCCTTTATGGCAGAACTAGTCCAAGTTTGTGAGAGAGCTTATTTAATCTATACTGAAATTACAAATAAATTTACCTCTTTGCATTGCAAGATCTATGTTGTAAAATCCTTTTAACAACAAAGTTCATTCAAAACAGTTTAACAAAGGAAAAAAAGAAGAAGAATACTATCTTCTTATTGACACTCTTCCATGACAACATGTCTTTGGCCAGTTTCCTTGTACGAATTGCAACACCCCTCATCAATTTAAGTGATCTACTTACCTTCCTTCTCACTTGGAAAAGAAAAAACACCAGTAAGCTTCAAAAACAAAACTATAAATATGACAAGATTTTGGGGCCTATACTTACCCACCCCACCTGGCTTCTAGGTCTAAACCTCTTCTCATTAGTCATTATTGCAGCCAATGACCCCAAATCAAGGGATTCCTTTAGGTAACAAGCAAGGTCAACAATACAGCTAGCTTTTCATAAGCTTTAATTATCCTATGAGTGATGCTGTGCCCAAAATCCAAGTAACTAGGTTCATAAATTGATCTACAATTTTTTTTCCAAATTTGAATAAAGAAAAAATATCATTTCAAAGTTCAAATGTCAATGAAACATATCTGCACTTGTACCAGTTTTTAAGAAAAAGAAAACCTATCAATGTCATATTCCAAAGAAAAATCTACTTCATGATGATTTCTCAGCTTTTGAGGACTAACATCATTGAGAAGATCTGGTGTTGATTCAATTTTATGTTACCCATCTTGAAGCTCATTTCCCAATTTTGAAACCTTGGAACTACTTTTTAGGGCATCCCAATTCAGGTAGTTTTAGGACTTGAAGATGATCATTGAGCCTTCTCTTGTACTTCTGAATGTGTTTTCCAGTCATTGCTCGATACTGCTCCTTTGTAATATGCACATTTTAATTGCCGTTTTTGTCCTCATCACAACTATATGCTTAAATTATAATGAAGAAAAAGTAGCAGACAGTGATGCTGCAACTCTGTGGCCTGGTATAACAAGGGCAATATTATCCTTTTATTTATTCAATATGGTGGAAAAACTGCTGCCCAATCATTCAGTCAATTTCTAAGTGTGTGCATTATTCTCTTTGTTAAAATGCATTGAAAAAAAATGATAATTTCTCTTTATAGTCATGAACACAAGGTTTAAGTGTTGCGTTTGAAGTTCAAGGAGTGTGTGTTTTCAAGGTAAACCACATGGGAGTAAAGTGAAATTAACCCAAAAAGATTCTCCCAAGTTGCTTTATTTAAGGCTTCAGGTTTTCTTACTAGCCCAAAAAACCTTCTTTCAAGTGGTCCTTGTTCAATAGCACCAATTGACTGGAACAAATTAGTCATTAATCTTTGCAAATAGCTGATTAGATCGACCACTTCTCTCATCTCGTACGTTAAATGGTGGTGCCACACATTCTCATGTTATTAACTTGTAGCTTAATGTTATGCAACATCTATGAGGTTTTGCTAGCGTTTCTCAATGTTTAATCTTCCTTGTATTTGTTGTTCCATCTATATGCTGGACATGCAGGGCGGATTATAATCCAGATCAGTATTTATGGGAAAAGGATTTTACTCTCGCGGGCAGAAAATACAAAAGACAGGACCTTGAGGCAAGTATGGACATCCATTACCAAACTTTCAGCTTCCATTGCCACTACCTATTTACAATACACATTCTGTTTCATATTTATTATGGTTTTAAGCTTCGCAGACTATGTATTATTTCATATTTGCAGCTAAGGAATCAAAGAGGCCACACCTTGCAGTGCAGTCATTATGTGCCTTCACCTTTCCCGGAGGACACTCCTCTACCTTGTGTTATATACTGCCATGGAAACAGGTTTGTCACAATCACGATATTTCATTGCCAGAAAATTTAATACTTGACTGTGGATTGAGCACTCGTAAGTATTAGTGAATCTTGTATGTGTAATGTATGCATATTGTTCTCAAATTATTCCTTGCTTGAGAAGATATATTGCTTATATCACATTCTGAAAGAATTTGGAGTCTCTATGAATACTGCTTCACATATTAAGAGGTGGAAAATTAATCATTTTGTTCCTGTGGACCTTGCAGTGGATGCAGGGCTGATGCAAATGAGGCTGCTGTAATTCTTCTTCCATCCAATATTACTGTATTTACTCTTGATTTTTCGGGTTCTGGCTTATCTGATGGTGATTATGTGAGCCTTGGTTGGCATGAGGTGCATTTTTCTCTTTCTCCGTGATAATGTTATCCTTGAGTTGATGTGTTTGTGAAGCTTGTTGGTTTCTTTTCATCTGTATGCCAGAAAGATGATCTCAAGGTTGTGGTGTCTTATTTGAGAAGCAATGAACAAATATCGTGCATCGGTCTTTGGGGACGTTCTATGGGTGCAGTCACTAGGTATCACATCTTGTCCCTTCTCCACCCAATTACTATTATGTTTGTTTATCATAATTGCCTTTGTTCGCAATTCTCTACATCTTTGAAAGCTTGGCCAACGTAACACCTACAATGGCAAGTGTTAGAAATGCTCATTGGTTTGCACAAAAGGATACACACTATATTGGAGAAGTCAATCTCCTGAAATTAAAACTTTTTGAGGCCATTGATGGTAAATACAAGAGCAGACCAATCAAATTGACAACCATTTTAGTTTTAAATTATGTCTGAGGCATTAGTTGGTAATCATTTTTCTTGTTGTATCATGTAATATTAGACTCCAGAAATGTGATACTCTGATTTTGTTTGATGTAATGCAGTCTTCTTTATGGAGCAGAAGACCCATCTATAGCTGGAATGGTGTTGGACAGTGCCTTCTCAAACTTATTTGATCTCATGATGGAACTTGTGGATGTGTACAAAATCCGGCTTCCAAAATTTACAGTATGGGTCTCTTTTTGAATATGTGTGCATGTGTGTATATATGTATATTTTACATGCATATATATATATATATTATACATACGCATATATCGTGTATACATCAGTAGATGTGAAGAGACATTTATCTTGAGTGCCATACGTCAGTAGATGTTGTACAAATAATATAATAATTATTTTTATTAATATTTATTATTATTTTGTTAGTTATTATATGATTTGTAATATATTAAAAAAAGGCAACCCAATGCATGAGGCTCTTGTCATTGCAGGGTCTGGAAGGGTTATGTACACAAACTTTTCCTTGCATGTGGAAAGGCTGTTTTCGTGTTTCAAACCCACATCGCCCATGTGACAATCGAGCAACCTTCCTGCTACATCAAAACCACTCTTACTGAGAATATATTAAGATAAATATATTTATTATGTTTATATATTTGCATATTATTGGAGTTATTTGTTTTTCTTAGGACAAGTCCCCTTCACTCAGTGCTATTAGTGATCAAATGTCAACCCTCTCTTCCAGATGCTCCCTTCTTATATAATATAAATGTTGCCAAATAGAATGATCATTCTCTCCCTCCTCCTGGAGTAGAATAGTCATTTAAAAAAATTGTGAGAATACATGTTGAGACCCTCTCTTCATGCAACCATTATCTTTATTTATGACCATTTTGCTTTTGTATAGCTACAACCTTATGATATTAGCTCTTGATGAATTTTCATATTTCATCAAGTTGATAAATACCTATTGTTCAAAGTTGTTTCTTGAGCTAGCCCGTTAGCCTAGTGGTGCAAAGGTATTGAAAGAGTGCTCTTTAGGTTTGGACTTCAACCCTCAACACCCCCTTCCCCCTCTCCCTTAGGTTAGTGGACTTGTATGAAGTTAGTTGCATGTACCCCCAGAAGTTAATTGTTTCTTGATGCAATTTTTGGGTCCATTAATACAAGTGTTCCATGTATATGGTGTACATAAACAATTTTAACCTAGAGATTTACATATCATAATTTGTATGGTGAAATATTGAAGACTTCCATTCTACAATGCTATAATTAGGAAAATTTCATATTGTTCACTTTTTACAAGGGAGGGAGAGCTTGCCTAAGGGTGGTTCCTCTATTTATATCATAGCTAATACCATATTTGGTGATCAGTTGCCACAAAAGCTTAGTTGTTGGGTAACGGGCTCACTAATGTATATCAAGCTTCGACACCCTCTTACATGTGCAACTTCTCTTGCTTGTTGAGAGACAAACTAATTCTCAAACTGAATTGAACAAGGCACACGAGCTACTAACCAAATGTGCTGGCTAACAAATATAACATCGGAACAAATAGCCATGACAAAACTTGAACTTGGGACTTCTTTCATTTTCAATTCCTTTCGGGTGCAAAAAGTAGAGAGGAAAGGGAATCTTTGACTTTTTTGTGTAGTTTGTTGATATTTTGGCTTTTTAGTGACTTTTTGACTTTTTGGCTAAAACATCAAGTTGCCATACGAGGGCTTAATTATTTGTTATTCATCTCATGAAGTGCAAAAATCACTATCAACTTTGGTTACTTATACATTCCAACAATGTCATTTATATATGCCTATACTTGCTATTTCACTTCTAAGAGAATTTGGTTTGCTTCCTTCCTATTTTTTGTTCCATGTACGATAATGGTAATGCTTCATGTCACATTGGCTACTTTTCTTTTTGGACAAACTGTAACGCCTTTAATACCAAGTATACACGTGCTGCTGAATGTGTTCCTAGCAAGTCTTGTTTACAAAAGGGATGATGGCATTTTTAGTTTGTAAAATCACTAGAATATACACCGTTTTCCCCATTGCACGCATTGAATACCGGACTATTTCACTTTAGATGTTACAGACAAAATTCAACACCTTAAACAATTTAGTTATGAGCCATTCTTTTGATGCTAAAGGGTAGATATACTTGCCAGCAATACTCATTTGCATTTGCTATTTGTTCCAATTCATTATTGCATATCAAAGCCTCATGCAATGAAGTGGTCCTAACAAAATAATCAGGATATTGTAATTTTTCAAGAAACAAAAATTGAAAGTTTTATTGGAAACTGATGAAGAATATTTGGGGGGCACTAGATATAAGAGTTCGGTTGCTTCAACTTCATTTGGTACATCAGCACCTGTTTTCACTTATTTGGGATGAAAGAGTGATTTCTTTAAGTGAGAGGTGAGAGTTTTGGGGGAAGTTTTTGTGTCTATTAGGTTTAGGAATTTGATAGTAATGAATGGTGGCTAATGGGTGTATATAGGCCCAATAGCCCAAGATTGAGAAAAGTTTTATGCGATGAGGTGGCTGGTCTATTTAGCCAAGGCTCTCCCAATTGGTTTTTAGGTTTGATTCCAACATCATTAGGTTTATTTTAGAGAAACTCAAGAGGTATAGGGCTAGTAGAAGTATGAGAGATTGTGATGCATTTATTTGGGAGTGTGATTTGATTGATCCTTCATTATTGATTGCTTGGTTCACCTGATCTAATCTTTAGGCAAATTTGGTTTATAACAGATTGGTTAGAATTTTTTTTTTTTTAACTCTTTCAGGCAGGAAGAGAGGTTCTCTAATGTAGATATGAGGTACTTCCTAGAGTAGCTTCGGGTCATTGTCTTGTGGGGTTTTGTTTGATCTTTTGTTACCTGATTGTATTGCCTAAATTATTGTCGCAATGTCTCTATTGCTTATATGGCATCTTATTTGATCTCAATTTCTTGGATTTTAATTCTTTAGGAACTTTAACTATCATGAGGCCAATGAGTTGACCTATTTTTCTATCTATTCTTGACGGTGTCTTTTTGAGATATGATGCTAGTGATAAGAGAATGTGGATTATTCATTCGTTAGAATCTCTCTCTTGTAAGTCCTCTTTGATGTGGATATAAGGAGCATGGAGCTTGCTTATAATGAAGCCCCTCAAACGTGTACTTGGGTTGCTTGGGTAGGTGACAAGATGTGTTGTGTGGAAATCTAGTGTGGAGGCTGCTTGAGCTAGGTCCTAGGCCGCTCAAGTGCACAGCAATATTTTTAACGTAAATATTTTCAATGTGCTTTGCTTGATAATGAGCTCTAGTGGAGAATGCCACTAGAGATGGGTCAAAGGTTGCTCTAGTAGGTTGCCTAGCATAGAAGGCTGCTAGAGCAGGGTGAAAGGCTGCTTTAATGAGGTTGCCTTTTTTTTGTGTGACAAGAATGGTAGTTTCCCACTCGATTTTGGCAACTATACTTCTAATCTTGGTAGTCCTACGTGAGCTTGGGACAAGAATTATTTCTACTCTATTACTCTATTGTGAGTAGTGTGTTTTGATCTTGAGAGGTCTATACTCCTGAGAGACTACTAGATCTATAAAGAGAGTTGGGCGAGATTGTGAGGATTTGTAAGATTTCTGTAATTCTTCTATGTTTGTTTGGAGAATATAGGGAAGATGCAGTGACACCATGGACATAAGTTTTTTTTTGAGTGAATTGCGAAAATCTTGTTTTTTATTCTTGTGTGTTTGGTCTTTTTTCTGTTCTAGATTCGTATGTTTGTGTAATTGCTCAGGTCTTGGAATAAGGTTTGTTTTGTTCAATTTGCTTGAATGAGAAGTTATGATTGAGTTGAGTCGATCAACAATTTCATTGATATCTCATTTCATGATGAAGTTAAGGTTTGTACACTGTTATGAAGTCTTCTTGAGAGTTGAAACACCTTAGTTGTTGTATTAAGAAATTTCACGGGCTTGGTAATGTTGTTGGTTTGTTCTAAGTGAAGAGGCCTACAAGAAGATGGCGGTGAAACCTCTGGTTTAACATTGGCTACAGATGACAGTGACAAGAAACCTAATAGAGGTGGCAACAATATACAGAATACAAGCAAATAGAGGTTGGGAAAGGGCCGATCAACCAAAGCATGATGGCAAGTGCTGCAACTGCAACCAGAAGGGTTACATAAGGTGAGATTGCAAAGTACTAAAGAAACATGACAATGACAACCAAGGTGACAAGGATTGTGTAATGTTTTAGATGAAGACCATTCTAATGTATTAGTGTTGGCTTTAGAAACTCAAATTGAATTGTAGGTGATTGACTTGGGTATGTCATTTCACACAAGGAGCTGCTGCATAATTAGATACAAGCTATGAAACATGGACACGGACACGGGACACGGCGATTTCAAAAAAATGGGGCACGGACACAGCGGGGCACACGACAAATTTATTTATTTATTTATTTTTTAAATATACATGTTACGTATTTGCTATGTAGATTAATTTTATATTATCAAACAATCAAAATTAATAAAATGTAATATTAATTTAATGTATATATAAAAACCATTACATTTAAACATTATAAACATATTTTCTATATATTATAAACATTATATAAAGAAAAAATTAAATATATGATAAAAATAAATTTGCAATATAATAAATTTGTAAAGAAAAAATTAGATTAAAATATACAATATATATATATATATATATATATAAATATCTAATCATAAAATAAATAAAAAATAAAGAAGAAAGAAGACAAAGAGAAGAGATATAATATATATATATATAAACTAAAATATATATAATATATATATATATATAACCATGCGATCAACAGAGAAGAGAGAGAAACGAGATAGAACAGAGATAGAAGACAATGAGACGAGAGGCGAGAGGTGAAACAGAGAGAACAGAGCAGAGAGGGACGAGACAGAGACGAGAGAGATGGAGATCAATTGAGAAAGAAGAGAGACAGAGACGAGAGCTTTACTACTTACCAGGTCGTTCGGTGATGGAGATCGACTGAGATGGAGCTCAATGGAGATTGAGATGGAGATCGACTGAGGACGTCACTCGATGAACAGGTTCTTTTCTCTCTTCTCTCTTTCTTTTCTTTTGATTTTGGATCTCTTCTTCTCTTTCTTCTTCTCGCCATGTCCCCTGCCGTGTATCCACTGTCTCCCATACCAAAAAAAAAAAGGGGACACACGAAAC